CCCACATGCTGCTGCCAGACAGTCTCAGCCAGCTAGAGGAGTTTGGCCGCTACAAGCGCCCCCATAAAACCCATCATGCACACAGTCGACCACGGCTGTTCAGTGACCTGTGGGTGCGTATAGGAGACAGGTGAGGACACAATGCATGCCACAAACCACATTTCCACAACAGGGAACTCAAAGCTGATTTTAACTAACAAAATCCACATTTTTGTTTCCATGTTGACTGCAGCACGACTCCAAACCCGTATATAAGGATAACCAATGGTTATGTGACAGTGGAACCTCCTCAAACACGACAGGAACAACAGCAAAGACGAACGCCGCTCCGAGACAGACTGAAGCCCCCCAGCCAGCCCACAAACCCCAGCGCACTTGACTCCTCTGCTCCAAACACAACATATGCACTGAGTTGCCTTTTGGCCTGTCTCATTTCACAACTGCTTTTCACTTCCTGAAGAGGGAAATGGATCTCTTGGAAGCTCACAAACCAACTCAATCAGAATTTTATCTGAGTGACTTTGCCTGTGGTAAAAATAAATGGCAGTGAAGTACATTTAGGTACTGCTTAGATCAATTTTGGGTGTCTGCCTACAGTAAATTAGTTGCCGCAGTATGTAACAGTAGATGTGTGTGTGTGATTTCTAATTGTTACATCTGGCAGAATGGTAGTCTGTAAGAATAACAATAAGAGAAAAACAAGAACATTTTGTTATACTTCGGCAATGACTCTGCCCAGAGTTGATTTATAGAAATCAGCTAAGATTGTACCTTGTTATGTGAATACCCACATGACTGTTCCCTATTGCTCTATCAGAGCAGACAGCAAAATATGAATGTGCATTTTTTTCTAATAAATTAAATGGGGCAAAAGAAACTATACCAAAATTATCAATATGACATAAAGGTTAAACACCTAAATTATATAATAGAGTCATTATGTGATATGGTCACTGACAGATAACTTAAATAGGCCTAGTTCACAGAGATGACATTTATATTTTGTAAATTGTGCATTTGTTCATACAGAAATTTTATATTTATTATTTCATGAAGAGTATATTTTCATGCATTTTTCAAGTATTAAAATATATATAGTTATGTAAACAAACTTGACTTGTCCTGTCCATTGATATTTTGCAGTGTTGCTGAGAAATCAACGCATACTGCCCTCTACTGGCACTCAAAACATATCATTTTATTTTTATAGTAATAATTATTACATACTTATATATAATAATTAGTATTATATAATTATATAATACTATATAATTATATATAATTATTCACCCAAAAATTTAAATATTATCATTTTGGCATTACTCACCCTCATGCAGTTCCAACGTAATATTATTTTCTTCTTCCTTCAAACATGAACGGAGATGACAGGCAGAATATCCTTAGGCAGTTTTTCCATGCAATAAAAGCAGACAGTGATTTTCAGTGACAAAAAAAAAAAAAAAAGTATTATAAAAGTAATCCATGACAGGTGACCAATATTCTTCTGAATCCAATATCGTTCGCTGTCGTGCTCAAATGACGCCTTTAGACACGCCTACTCTTTAAAATCTTTCTTCTCGTAGATTGGCATTTAAATTAGTATTACGCTTTCTTGTATTGAAAAGCTGTCTATCCCCTTTCTGTTTCAAGAATGGAAATTCTGGGTTGGAATGCCGTAAGTAAATAATGAAAACATTTTAATTTTTGGATAAACTTTCCCTTTACCGTCATTTATTGTAATCGCCACTAGGTGGCAGACAACCCCTTTGTAACTGAATGTACCTTGAGAAATTGGTTGCAGTCTAATCAATAACCTTCAGAAATACGTTTCAGAAGATGAATGGTGTGTCTACGTTCAATAATCCTGGGTTAAAAATGATTCTCTAATCTTTATATAACAACATAATTTTAAGTTGCTATAATGAAGAATTCTGATATAAAAGATAAAAGCTATCACAGTATTCTGTAAGAAAAGGCAAAAACAATAACCATCCTTCTCATGCTTTCATCTTTGGAACTTCTTTCTCAACTTAAAGAAACTGAAATCACTGACAAATGCTTAATATTAAATTATTTGAAACGCTATATGTTTCATTACAATATGTTTCAATAAATATAATGGAAATAAAACAAATAGTTTACCATCAAATTTATACATTTCACGGTCTCATCTTTCTAGAATGCATTTTTTATGTAATTATTTATTCTGCACAATTGTAAATATGTTTGTCCTTCTAGTGAAATGCTGCAATTGGGTGAAGTTTAAACACTTACAACTTCACATCTCAAGAATGAAATAAAATCATTTAAGCAAAGCTTCAATTTTATGCATTTCATTTATATATATATTCTCCTCCTGCCGCTCTTCTTCAAAGTACGTCCCTCATCCAGGCAAAGAGGAACAAGTTTTAAAATAAACAGCTATTTCGCCCCTTAAGCCAAGACAGGACAATGTTTGCCTTTGCTAAAATACCATTTTCCCTGGGCTTTGGGGTGTTATTTGAGGGAGTAGGGGTCCTGACAGGCTGTGACCCCTCCCTGGGCTTGGGGACAGAACACCCACTGCATATTAATAAAAGATTACTAGGGAAAATCAATGTCTGAGCAAACTCATTAAAATGCCACTTCATCTTAAATGATTTCTGTTCTTTACCTCCACTCTGTGTCTCTCTCTTTCTCCCCCAGTTGCTTTTCCCTAGCGGTAATTACTTTCACAAGTCGTTTTCTGCCCTTTGAGTTGCACCGTTTCACAAATGAAGGTTAAGTTTGTTTAACCGTGCTGGATTTGCTATCCATGTTAAAGCATATAATGTGGAAGGCATGACTTTGCCCACACACCTCCAGGACCCCCTCAGATTTAAAGCCCCCCTTTGCATGGTCATATGGTCCAAGGTTAAGGCCCATCTTGGGTAGACCAAGATGGAGTGGTTTCAGCATCTTGTCTAGGCTACACACTGGGGAGATGCTGAGGATTGTTAACAATTCATATTATAGGCCTATTGTATTTACAAAACTTATCCTTTATCTGTGTATTTTTGTTTGGGGCCCTCAAATGCTTTCTGGAAATATATCTAGCAGTTCTAATTGAGTAGCGAAAGATAAAGCATGCACACAATGGTTATCAACTCAAGGTCTTTTTTAAAATATAACACTACAAGTTCAGGCTTATATTCCAATTGATCAATAAAATTTCAGGGACATGTTTCTGAAACACACATAACAAGAGGGGACTTTGTTGCTTATATTAGGGACTGCTACTGGAAGGACTTTCTTAAGAGATCACGAGGTATAAAGGACAATTTATTATTTCAAATAAGTGCTATTATTTCAGTTCCTTCAAAAGGAACGTCTGGGAAAACGCATTAGTGCATCAATATTCACCTTGAAAAAAATACAGCTCTCCCCATTGTACAAAATGTTGATAATATTGGTCTAATACAAAATATTTTGTTGTTCTATAATGTGACAATGTCACAGTGTTTCCGTTGAGGTTAGTTTGCCTTTGTGTGGGTGTCAGACAATAAAGCAGGAGCCATGCATGGATAAACCACCATTCACTGTCTTAATGCAATATCCTTTGTAATGCTTTGTAATCCTAAAAGAATTACTCTCTGGAGTAATAGCTTATGATAAACAACATGTTGGCTACATAATATGTAAATATAGAATTTAACTGCTTGTAATACAGTTTTGTTACTTTTAAATTGATTAATTATGTTTACATATACAAGGAAATTTAACCAATTTGAAATTACATCACTAGACAGTAAGGTGTCTAATTTAATAATAATAATAATAATAATAATAATAATAATAATATATTCAGGAAAAATGTTTTTAGGTAAGAAAGTTTAATATGTCGCTTATAATTTTAGTTATGAATAGTAAATTACATAAAAATGTGTCATTTAAATCGCCAGGTTCTGTTAATTTATTTCATATATCCGCATACGGTTTTCATGTAGGCTATATTTAAATAAATAAATAGACTAGAAATATTATATCTGACCAGGCAATTTTTTTTAAGATGATGGGAGATCCCATTATTATTCTTTTAAAATAAAAGAAAAAAAAATGTTATGTCCATGTTTTCTATTATGTTTCAACTAAATATGGAGATATCAACGTTTGAAATACAAAAATAGAAAGAAAAAAAAAACATCACAAGTTACAGAAATGTAAACAAAATGTGTTAAAACAGACACTGTAATATACAGGATCGGTTTGCATTAAATATGCTAACCCGATCTCATGAAAGTGCGTATAAATAGCACGCCAAATGTAGATGCGTATATCATATGTACGCGAAAACTGCGTATCATATGCACGCCAACAAATTTCGTATCATATGCACGCGAAAACTGCTATTATATACGCGCCAAAGTCCATTTTTGCGTATCAATACGAGTTTTCGTTTATATGCATTTTCGTAAGACCGGGCTGAATATGCAGTAAGCTCCTTGTCGCTATGGCGTGCAAATATTTTGCTACACAGGCAGGAAGTGTTTCTATAGGGAAAGAGAATGAGAGCAAATTAAGAAAGGGTGAGTATGTCGTGGTTTACAGGGTTTCTCGACGTTTCATTATTCGTGAACAAGGAGCACTTGCGCTCTCTTTGATGCCGACTGCAGCTTGAGAGAGTGCACTCAAAAACAGACGCTAACAAATTTATTCTAAATAAATAAATTAATAAATAAAATAATTGGAAATATCGAGAGAGAGAAGAGGGGGGAAAGTAGTGGTAAGTTTCACTGACACGCACGCGGGATCCCAGGCTTTGAGGCTCCAGTGATGACAATCACCACATAATGATGTCTGATAATTACATACACATGAAAGCTTGTCTACTGAGGCAGCTAGATGGTAAAAATAGAGAAACAAATATGATTTTATCCAAAGATACATTCTCATTAATAAATACTAATTCTGATAAACATATTTGATTCTTTTTATTGACTACAAAGCAACAGAAGGCATCATTTGACAACAAAATGGTCCAGAGTAAAAGGGTTTACAGATCAACAAGCACTGTTCACATTGAATAATGGCAGTGTTCATAAACAGAGATTAGGTGGTTTGTAAAAAACAAAACTGAAAAAATAAACCAGGTTTTTGCAGACTATCCACTGTTGACATAGATCAAATAAAATCCATGTTCTGATTTGTACTGGAGTTTTATGTTTAGGAGATTTATGTCACTCGCTGCCTTCATTTCATCATCTGTGAGCAGACTTGAAAAAAATTAAAGGTGCAGGGACTCATCAAACTGAGTGTAATTATTTATATCAGTGTAATTTTCCAGATATCCAACAGATCCATAAGTACGTAAATTCCCATTTTATCTCTTGAGCCATAAAATAATTATTTTCCTTTTTTTAAGGTGGGTGGAGGAGAGGAATGGATTGGGGTGGATTTGGAAGTGAGTAGACAGAGAGTGAAAGAAAAAAGGGATGTGTTTGACCATCAGCGTTTACTTCTTAGTCAGACATCAAGGCATACAAACACACACCTTAGCCTTCATCTCCCCAAGGAGTTTGCTCGAGGTCATAGGGAAGGTGGAGGTCAAATGGGCCTGGGTTAAATTTGATCAAACAGTGCTATAGGGGGTGTATGTGTGAGTGTGTTTGTGAGGCTATTGTCTGCTAACTGATGCTAAATGCTCACTATGCAAACACACACACACACACACACACACAGGCACATACAGATATTCACACACATACATATGCAAATTCTAAGATTAAGTGATGAGAAGCATGCACAGATAAGCGATCAAATATTTTCCCCTCAGTCAGTCTCGAAACACCTATTTGAAATGTCACAGAAAGTGCTGCAGGGTGCGGTCCACACCATGGAAACAGCATAGCTTGATTTGAAGATGTAGAAATACACAATGAATGCATTTGTCCTTAACTGAGACCCTGGAGATAAACAAGGTAATAGGCCTTAGACACACTCTGATGGAGAACCTGGAGACTAACTTGGAATGGATTTAATTTGAACTCACTGGCTCCATTAAGACCTTTATCATCTCCCCCAGGTGTATCCAGGTAACCCCAAGGCCGACATGCTCTTAAATCCGAGACAGTCAAGGTAACAGGTAATTGCAGTGCTGCCTCGTAAAAACATCCTGTTTGCCAAAGACTGATAGCCTCCATTTAAAACTAGAGGACATGGAACTGCAGCTGGATTCATTTTCTCCAAAACATCAAGATGTTTCGTCTTATTTTCACATTATTTCCTGTTCTTTCATTCTCATTCACTTTCATTTGGTTCACTTCAATTTCTCTATAGGTAAACATTATGTCTCTCTCTTTAAATATTTGATTGGACATGATAAGAGCAGGTATAATAACTAAGAACTTAATGTGGTCAAAGGCCACCAGCCAGGTGTAAAATGAGCAAACAGCCCTGACAAACGTACACACACACACACACACACCATATTCAAATAGTCACAGTATTGTTACATATGTTGAGAAAACACAGCCGCTGAAATAAACCTTCATAACCATACACCCAGAGCAGCTACCTGACAATAGCACATTAACACTGTTGGCACACATAGCCTACATATACACACAATGACAACAGGTTCCTGTTTACTGCTGGCTTTGCTCACAGTCTATTTTCTCACCTTCAACAATCACATGTTTATTTCCATCTGTAAACAAGCAACTGCACAAGCAAAATAGGAGCCATTGACACCAATAGCATAATACTCTATTTGTGTGTGTGTGTGCATTGCTTTTCACCTCCCACACACTCTCCATCTCTCTCCCCGTTTCACTCTCCCTTGCTCTTCTGGTGTGATTTTGCTCCTCTGATCTTGGCATTATAAATTCATTGTGCACAGCTTGTGCTTGTAAGCTTGATTGAAGTGACGGGCTCTGATTCCTCCGGCTTGCTGACTGGAGGGTGCTATAGCAAATGGCCCGATGGCACTGTTTGGATAACACTGACCTCTCTCCCCTGCCACCGCGCGCGCCTAAGTGAGCGGTTTTATAGGACTCTGGCGCTCATAAGTGGAAGGGCAAAAAAAGAAAAAAAAGGAGGCAATTTGATCAATTCAGAACTGGAGAGAGGAAAAAGATCTGGGCGATGGTTTCGGAGCACATTGTAATTCCCACCTGCCCCCTTTTCCTGTGAACAAAAGTGATAGCTATCAAACTCGATTGCTGAGAAGAACACAAGAGCCAAGCGCCTGATCTGCATTCTAGAAGCGCCGTTACCAGGGCGACGTACTGTATGTGGCGGGGAAAACACTCGCGCCACTCCTTAGAAATGGATATTCAGGTCTTTTGTGCCATGTCATAATTGTATTTATCAAACCAATCGAGGTCGCACGGCCACTCACGCAGTGTGCCACATATGGGCAGCAGAGTGCCAATGGGTTTAAATTTAGCAATGAGTGTTGATCAAAGACAGTGAGATTAATTGAAGGGCGAGCCTAGGTTTGCATAAAGAGGTGTGTGTGGGTCGTTAGGATGAGTAGATTCCCTGTGACGGTCTTCAACAGCTTTTCACTTTAAGCGAGGCCTCGAAGTTACTCGTCTATCGCAAACCTTTTTAACGATTATTTCGTGTTAGTTTAGATACTAGTTCGTTTTAGGGAATAAACGTAAAAACGGCCTGCCATAATCTCAGTGTCCTTTTGCTTAAGTGCAGTTTTTATGACATAAATCGCAGAGTCTGTCTCTTAGTTGTCTTTTTAAAATAATCATCTTTGCTGTTATGCAACATCGTACACACAAAAGTCCGTTAAAAGTTATGAGGATCGCATTTATGGCTTGTCCCTAGCGGACGCTCGTAAAATATTGTAACTCTCACATGACAGGTGCTTTTAGCACAGCGCTATTAAACCTGTTAACTGGGAGGAGCTTGACGTATCCTGAGAATTCTCCGAGAGCAGACTTTCAAACTAGAACGTTGTTGTTGTGATTTAATTAAAACGACGGATCCCTCCCCATTGATCAAGAGGCAGGGAGGTAAAGGAGAGGGAATTCAAGTAGGTTTAGCGATTTGACAGTGTGCTGGAGTCAGCTCAATTTCCAGCAACACCTCCGTCCACGCACGCACGCACACGCACACGCACACACGCACACACACACACGCACACACACACACACACACACACACACACACACACACACAAGGATAGATGGACAGATGGATGTATGAGTGCATAGTTAGATTTGGTAGGATAATTAATTTTTTATCATTTAGTGGATTAGCATATTATTTCTATGAAGGATGGTGAAAATATTTGCTTTTAACTTTTAGCACTGACATTGATTAATGGCGCTAAATAGATTTTATCAAATAAAGGGTTAATTTAGTAGGCTATAAAATCTTCGATATTTTCTATTTATCTTTTTAATCCCCAAAATGAAATGACTTCTGTAATATAACGATACAAATTTATAACTGACTAATAAAAATATAAGCGGATATGTGTCACATATTCATAGGTCATGTGCAGGGGCGTCTTAAGATAACCAGCTGGTTATTTAACCGTCTTTCCTGACAATTATTTATGTCGAATTTCGAATTTTTCTTGTTGACATGCCAGTTACCATTTACAACACTGTTCTGCTTAAAATAAGTGAATATGCAAATTCACTCTTTGCCAGAAGGTGGCGCTTATGCAACAGCAGAATTATAGCCTTTACATAAGTAAACACTACGTTATTACAGGCATTATAAGGAGATAATATGAAAAGAAAATGCCATCAAAACTTTCCTGGCCGAAATGTGAGTTCACATGTATGATTTAAACACCATAAATTACACAAAATATTCATTATTCATCATTATCGAAACTATCACTTGGCAAGATGTCATAAATGTAGGCTATTTCGTGGTTGCTAACTGCGTTTTTATTTTGAAACATGCCTGCTACGCACATGTCTTGGCGTGCATATGATACGCAGTTTTGGCTTACATATAATACGCACCTACCCCACAGCCCTAATCAGGGCCGCTGCTGGCCAAATGGGTGCCCTAAGCAGAATAGTATTGTTGTGCCCCCTCCCTCAAAAAAAAAAAAAAACACCTACTATAAGGGGTCAAAATAGAACATTGATCAAATATAAAGGTAAATAAATAAATTGCAATTCAATTGTATTATTTATAAATTACAATTGTAGCTCTAGACAGCTACCTATGGCTATGATTTTATTAATACAGTTGTCTGATTAATTTTATGGTTTCAAGCATTCAGAAATCATACAAAATAAAATTAAGCAGTTTTACTACGATAAAACCGTGGTTAATTTTGGTAAGGGTTGTGATGTCCACATATTTTTGTTGAATAAATTAAAGAGGCTGTAGCATTTCTATTGCAAAAAGGTGGCCAAAATTAAAAATTAAATGGATATTTGAATTAAATGTTTGGTCAATATTAAACAAGGATTTGATCGTCCTGTAAGTGTAACAACAGCAATTATCAGGCCTTTTGTGCCCTTTGCAATGTTTGTAATAATGTAAATTTTGTGTTACTTTATGTATTTTAACAGTGTTATTCAATGAAACCATATTTGAACCATAGGCCTATACCATATATTGCCTCGTAAATGTTTAGATTTTTATTTATGTATATGTATATGTTAATATTAATAGGCTATAGAACGAACGTTTATTTATTTATTTTTAGCAACTGGGATGGTGCCCCCCTGGGAAAATCAGAGTGAACAGTAGTCCAAATAGAAATAGAAACTCGTGGTATTTATATGCACATTCATGAGATCGGGTTAGAATATCGGTGGAACACACCGACTATGCAGACTGTGTGGGGGAAACCTAATCTGAACTATACACTACATATAGCTACAAGCAGGGCGTCTCTGAAAACGAGTCTTTTTTTACAGAATGCTGCAAACTCCCATATATACAAATTATTCAAAAAATATAATGTACATGCAGCCAGTAGGCCCCTGGGCTTCAGCCCGTTGAAGCCCGTGCGTGAGTGCGCCCCTGCTCATGTGGGTTTATTTTCTTGCTGCAAGAACCCAGAACTTCATTAGAATTCGAGGTGTGTCCCGGGAACTAGGCGGGCGTTGCATTGTAGGCCTATTTGGTGGTCACTAGGAGGCGCTGTTAAACACAGCTTTGTCCCATTCTTCACCACCAAAACTGAAATCATCTACAGGACAGGCGATTTATCCACCGCGATAACAAAACAACCAAGATGGATGAAATGCTTTACAGTGGCTTAAATATAAAATTACAAATTATACATCCAACGTACTTTAAACCTGAAAAATTATTTACAGAGAGACATTAATTGTGCTTTATAATACACAAAGGCCTACAAGTGACTGATCTACAAGCTCCACCACACTCTGCTGGAATAAGTGTTGGAATTACTTATTTGAACCGTTTTAGTGTTGAATGAAGCTGTTTTTTGCAGTCCATCACAGATCTGGAAACCCACCGTAAGCTGTAATTTTGTATATCTGGACCACAAATTAATAATAATAATTAAATAATAACAATAAAAAAAAACTGCTAATAAAATAACGTTTTAGGGAAGGGAAAACAAAATAATTTGAGATGCACAGCATTAACATATTAAGAATATGACTTGATCTATATTTCTGTTTAATTATATTTTGATTTATATTTCTTCTTGATTTATATCTCTTGTCTTTCTGTATACAAGTATAGGCCTATAAGCATTTCCTCAGAATGCATAATAATAAATAGGCCTACAAATAGCCTACAATATTCTAAATCCATCGAATAGTATTTTTAGCAACTACAAACTATAGCAGGTGAATAAAGTTTAAGTCAATATTTTGGATTTGGTGTGCCGGTTGACCGAAATTAAACTCGGCAGACTCATGTGAAAATAATACGGGAGGCTCAGAAGAGATCGAAGTAGGTGAAGAAAACCAAGTGATTCAAGAATTTTCACGCCGTTCTATAGAAATGTCTTAATACCAGTGAAGGACATTGTCCTCCTGGTCTCTACTTAGCGTCGATATTTCAATGGAATGCAAATCTAGGGGTCTACAGGGCTTGCTATGGGTGATCCATTGATTTGGGATGAATACAGTGACTACTTTCAACCCCTTCACAGCTATTAGGCCTAATAGAAAAACATAAAATAAAGGGAAGAAAAAGAAGAAGGGATCCGCACAAATGGTGCGAATTGCTCGCCTCCTCCAAGCCCTCTCCAACAGTTTGGCCAGCAATTTGCATTCCTTTGTACGACAACTTGTAATCCTCCCCTCAGCATGCCAAGAAACACATAACAGATTTATTGTCCCAGTCAACAAATCGTTTAGGTCATCCCAAACCTATTACAGCCTAATGCAGCGAGAGAGAGCCTCCAGACCCAGATCTCCCCTCGGTCTCATCACACGAACCAGTGGTTTCCAAACACCGATGAGGAGCCCAGAGCACGGCCGCTTTGTTGAGACCCCAATCTATTCATGCCAAATACACTTCTGAGGACTAAACCACTTCTCGAGGTGGGCTGGAAGGGCAATGAACACGGCGGATTCTCAGGCCTGGCTGCCCTTCTATTGCTGAGGAGAGAAAGCTCAATATGCCAGCTGGAACAATTATTTTAAAATGTTTGATATATTTATTAAATACCTAATTAAACAAACAAATACACAGATAGATAGATAGATAGATAGATAGATAGATAGATAGATAGTCAAAACATTGCGAACAGTCCAAATAGAAATCAAATTATTGTTCTGCCAGAATGCCTAATTGACCCGTGTCTGTTCAGGACGGTAATAGTAGCAAGAGCACGTCCTCAAGAAACGGCGCTGAGACGTGTGTTAGTTTTGCGTGCAAGGCTGTTAGTGCAGAGAGAGAAAGAGAAAAGAGGAGACTAGAGCCCATCTGCTTGCCTTTGTGTCGCACAATCCAAGACTCCAATGAGGGGTCATCTGAAGA